TGGTCCTCCTGCTTGCCTGAGGGTAGCCTTGCTGTCTTAGAACTTACTATGCAGACGGAGCAGGCTTCAGACTCACCACGATCCACCTGCCTCTGCCTCCCGAGTGCTGCGTTTAAAGGAGTGCTCCATCATGCTTGGCTTGGGCCTGCACTGTAACCCCGAGCTCTCACCACAGGTAGCACTTACTTTGAATGTTTTATCATGCGGAGTCCTGGCATTATTTCATGACTGAACACCTCTGTGTCCCACTCCATAAGGAGCCTGCTCTTGTGGGGTGTTTATATTTACTAGTGGACCCGAAAAGAAGTGAACAGAGAGGTGGCGAGGCTCAGAGGTAGGAGAGCCTGCTTCCACCATGCCATGGAGGTAAATAGGTGTCTCCTGTGGCTGGCACTATGTCCTTTGCAGCTGGCCTTAGCACTCACACACGCGTCCACACAAGCACAAACTAGATAATAAGGAAATTTTAAAAAGAAAAATAAATAAGAGAAAATACAGATAAGTAGAGAGATGCAGCTTTTCCTTTTTGAAAACAAAAATTCTTTGTCTTTTTCTAGGCATGTAGCCCTGGAACTCTCTATGTAGAACACGCTGGCCTGGAACTCATAGAGATCTGCTTGTAGATGCCTCTTAAGCGCTTACAGGACACCAAGCACAATCTACAAAAGACAAGTAATAGACTGAGTTTGAAAGTCTTTCCCATCGCCCAGGGAAGACTTCTTGGAAGAAGAGACATTTCTGTGAGGGTAGAGAGGCTGCTTCTGAAGAGTGGGCAGCAACAGTCCATGTGGTACAGACAGCAGAAGTCACTTTTACTGGCTTTGTGTAGACAGATGGGGCAAAGGATATTTTACTTAAAAAATGCCTCATTAGACGAGAATTCTTCGGGAAGCATATGGGATTAATTTGAATGAGGCCTCGAAGCTCTGAAGTCTTCTCAGAGTCCTAAAGAAACAATGGCTCATAAGACCAACTGGGGTAGAAGGTTTTGCTTTTGGTGTGTGTGTGTGTGTGTGTGTGTGTATGTGTGTGTGTGTGCAAAAAAGAAAATTATATTCTTGCACAAATTGGTGTAGTTTTTGCACATGACTGTCACCTATTCAGTGATTTGGAGAGAAATAATTATTTCAATAACTGTTTCTGATTTTTTTCTACTTCTGACTGAAAACTGCTCAGAGCTCAATATTAGCTCCAGAAAGGGGAAAACACAGAACAGTCTTATGATAGCAATCAAAAATGTGTCTGTTGGCAGCAATTTCTATCCCCAAATGTACGGTAAGTCCTGAGCCTGTGAGTTATGGGTAAAAACCATCTGATAAATAATGTATCAGGTAATAAGCAGCAGGATAAAAATGTTTTCCATTCAAGAATTCAAAATGAAAGAGTAAGTCTGAGGGAGTTTTGCTCAGTGGAAGGTAGCTTTCGCATGGGAGCCAAGAAAGCTGTAACGGTTTGCTCTGAATTCTCATAGGCTTGGTGGCAGCACTCTGTGACATATAGTTCCAGATCTTTCCTGAATGCTAACTTTCAGAAAAGCTTAGTGTCCAGATTGTATGGCTCTGGGTGACAGACTTGGGCATTTATTTTACCCTTTGAAACTTTTAAATTGTAGCCAGGTGGTGGTGGTGCATGCCTTTAATCCCAGCACTCAGGAGAGAGAGGCAGGCAGATCTCTGTAAGTTTGAGGCCAGCCTGGTGTACAGAGTAAGTTTCAGGACAGGTTTAAAGCTACACAGAGAAATCCTGTCTCGAAAAAAACTAAAACAATGCTGAGTGGTGGCGGCGCATGCCTCTAATCCTAGCACTCGGGAGGCCAAGGCAGGTGGATCTCTGGGAATTTGAGTACAGGTGCTCACAAAACCCAGAGGTATTGAATGCTCCTGTTGTTGGAGTTACAGGTGGTTTTGAGTCACTTGACAGGGGTCTTGGGACTCAAATTTGGGTCCTCTGGAAGAGCAGTAAGTGCTCAGCAGCACGGAACCATATTTTCAGTCCTTCATTTAACCTTTTAATTCACACAGATAAGTAGGTGTCCACATCCCCATTTTGTATATGGATAAGCTGAGACTCAAAAAGGATAGCTAATTCCCCCAGGCTCACAGGACTCAGTTGGTGTTTGAATCCATGTTAATTAAATTAATAAGCAGAGATTTTGGAATAAATGGTCTAACATACTTCTGAGGACTGTTTGATTTAGGCTGCTTCAAGCATCTAGTTGGCTGGATGACCTAGACTTTGAGAAGGACTCAGCTGCGAGTTTTTGACCAAATACAAACATCGAATCACACAGAACGGCAAGCCATCCGTTTGCTTTTCCCCCTCATTATCCCACTTGTTCCCTAACGCAGTTGGATGTTTAGCAGGTGGCAGATAGTAAATTATTGTTCTAAATGGTGCCCAATAATAATAAGGAGGCAGCTCCCACAGTGTCAATCCGCCGACAAGGGAATAATTAATGCACTTATTCAAGCAGATGGATTTCAGAGGGATTTGAATACTACTCGAAGCACTGTATCAGTATTTTATTTACTCTTCCTGGAATTTGACAACGGCGTTATTACTTTGTTTCTGATTATTGTGCCGACACGTTTGCTCTTCCTTTATTATTATTTCTTTTTCTTAGCAGTTGTAGCACACACACACACACACACACACACACACACATCCTTATTAAGACTGCGGCACAAAAACACAGGGGGGGGGGCTGGGAAGGAGTCTGAAATACATGAGATGAGGAAGAAGGAAGGAAAGAATGAGGAGATTTTGTACCCTGAGCAAGCAGCCCTGGTCTTTATTCCCACTGCTTTTTCTCCGCCTTTGTTGAGAGGGCATAGAGGCATTGTAAAGGGTGTTTCTGTCCACTTTCCACCCCAACCTGCTTTCATTCCTTGAAGTCTGGCTTCGGGGTTATTTATTGTGATACTGCCAGGGTCCAGCACAGAGTCTGGTCCTAGACAGATGTCCTCAGTGGTTGATTGGATGGAGGAAAGGTGAGTGAGGAAAAGGATGTCCAGAGTCCAACTTGGGAACGGAGGAGGAGAGTGCAATTGTGAGGAGGGAAGAATCCGAAAGTACTTGAGGGATGGAGAGACAAATGGAAACGGATTTCCCCAAAGGCTGGACCGGGGAGGGAGGAGGCCTGAGCAGAGACCACAAGAGGATTCAAGGGGAAAAGTGGGAGAATGGAGAGGGTGAGAGCGAGACAAAGAGCAGCGGGCCGAGTCGTGGGAAGAGAAGGGGGAAAAGTGGCCGGGCCGGGAGGCGGCGGCGGAGGAAGGGGCGTGAGGGAGGAGAGCGGGGCGGGGCGGGGCGCGGGACACCCGGCTCCGGGCGCGGGGCGCCGGCCGGGGCGGCGACGAGGGCGGGCTGTGGGGCTCCGGAGCTGCGGGAGGCGGAGCGCGAGCGCCTCAAAGTTCCTCGGCCTTGCTGCGGGCCCGGGGCCGCGTGCTGCCGGCGGGAGGAGCGAAGCGGGGCTCGGCGGCCTGAAACCCGAAACCTCGCGTCCCGGGCGCGGCGCGGCGGGCGCGCAGGGAGGAAGCGGCGGGAGGGGAGGCGGCCGGGCTCTGAGCTGCCGCGGCGCCTCGGTGAGCACCGGGAGTGGGGGAGCGGTGAGGGACGCAGGCCGGGGCGGGACGGGCTGCCCGGGGATGGGGAGGCGCTGAAGGCATTGTGCTAGGCGCCGGCCCGGCTAGGTCTGCAGCTCTCCCCCGACCCTCCCTTCTCTCTCGGCGGCGTCCGCTTCTCCCGGCGCCCCCCTCTGCCAAGTCTACTCGAGGCTCGTTCCCGGCTGAACCGCGCCTTGCTTTGGGGCGCTGGTGCTTTCGCGTCTGGTTTTGGAGCTCTTTGTGGGAAGAGCCTTGGGGGCGCGCCCCTCCAATCGGTCGGAGGCTTTTTCAGAAGCCTACCTGGTTCTGCTGGGTGCAGCCCGCTCCATTTCCCCGGAGCCCCTCTGCACATCCCTTGGGAAGGGAAAGCATCAGTGCGTGCCCGGGACTCAGCCGAGGAGGGCCGCGCCCCCTGCGGCCGGCTCAGAAATGGGGGTGTGGGGCGCGGCGGCCGCGACCCCAGGCTGGAATCCGTGAGGACCAGGTGAGTAGCATCTTCCTGGTCAGGACTCAGGGTGTCCTGTGCCAGAGTCTGGCCGTGAGACGAACCCAGACGTCGCCCCGGCGCCGTGGGATGGGCGCCCCTGCCCCTCAGATCTGTAACAGGGAGATTCGGTTGGTTTGGGGGTTTGGGAGAAGCACTTCACCAACTGGGCCAAGAGCTTAAACCCAGGTGCATCCTGTGGACAAAGCATGTGGCATGAGAAAGTCTGTTGGGGTGGCCCGTCGCGCTTCAGAGCAGCCTGCTTGCCAGTGGCTGCAGCCGGGCGTTGGCATCTTTGGGTAGCACAACTCTGAGACTCTTCCTTTTCGTTATCGTTCTCATCCCTTTTGCAAAGTGTTTGCAAGAGCGGCCATTTAGTCTTCCTCCCTGCTAGGTAAGGAGAAAGCCGCAGTTTTAGAGGGAAAAGACCTGGGTTCGGTGATGTGCCCAGTGGGAGACACATAGATCAGACTGTCTTAGGTGCTGGAGGCTGCTGGAGCCTCGGAATCTGTCTCCTCCCGGTAGAGTCAGCCCCGGTTGCAGCCCAGCCTCTTGGAGTCACGGCTTTGCCAAATCGATGATGTTTGCCTGTGTAATGCATTTTACTTCAGCCACCTTGAGAGCAGGAGAAAATAGGAGTTTGCCAGCCCCTCTGGGAAAAATGGGGAGGGGGCGGGGCCTCAGGTTATGTAGCCAGGCTTTCCACCAGGCTTCCAGAACCCCTCTTCCTGCCATAGCCTACACCCACCTTGTTTTATCTTCTAAGGTGTTGACAACTGGTTTCATACTCACCTTTTAAATCTATTCACATGACAGCCCTGTGAACTGCAATTATTATCCCCTTTGATGAGTGAGGAAACAAAGGCAGAAAAGTGAAATACTCTGCCCTGTTTTTTTTGTTTGTTTGTTTGTTTTTGTTAACGAAATTGCTTTGTAGTCCTGGCTTTCCTGAAACTTACTATGTTGGACTGGGGAAGGGCGGTGGGAGGATTTGAACTTGCTGAGATCTGTGTGCCTCTGCCACATTGTACTTAGCAATGCTTTGCATGTGGGGCCGTTTGACTCAGGACTTTTTGTCCTACAGACCTAATGAGTTGGCAGTGAGCACAGAGACCTTCTCTGAAAGAGATCTGCTTGGTATTTTGGTGCTGACTTCAAGACCGAGGGTCCCCAAATCTGTGTTGCAGCCCTTTGCACTGCGAATCCTCTGATCAAGGAGTATGTAGTGATCAGAGGCTCTGTTTGGGGTCCGAACTTCATCTGCCCTAGGCATCAACAGATCCTGGTAGACGACAGACACACTCACATTCCATGGACGATGCTACCCAGGAAGCCAGAGTACAGGAAGAGGTCGAGCAGGTGGGCTGGGTAGGATTATGGCAGAGTGACACCCCATGAGGAGGCAGCCAGCTGTGACTACTATCACAAGGTCCCAACACATTGTTATCTGAGGTGAGCTTTGTGGAAACTGTAATTTTTTGGGGGGGAACCTCACTTTTAATTCAAAACACGTTTTTGTTAAATATGTAGAGTCACTGAATTGTGTGTTCAGGTGTTTTATGGTCTGCCGACTGCCAGTGTACAGTCTAGGTTAGACCTTTTGAGACACAGTCTATCTGAACTATTGCAAAGCATGGCTGGAGGGGAAGGAGAAGGGGCATCTTTAAAAACCAAAAATACTAACAAGATGAAGGTTAGCTGTCAGCGTGCTTTGCAGTTTGGAGGAAGGATTTACTACTTCATTCAGTTTATCCTAATCTTGCCAATGATCCTATCCTGTCCCGAGAAAGAATACTTTCAACTAGTTTTCAGTCTGTTTCTGGGGTCCTTTTCTTTGTCTGGCCGTGGAGAGGGTAACACTCAGGGCAGATCTATTCAAGGAAGGTTGGCAGCATGAAGGAAGGCATTTTCGGTCTGTCAAATCTAAATCCCGATGAGTTACACTTGCGTTTTGTTTTGTTTGTATTATACTGGAGTCATAGGTGACTGGGAATAATCTGAGGTACCTAGCCCTAAGTATTGCCCTTTACAGTATGTCATCTGGGGTACATAATGATAGAGCTTATCTGGCATATGGTAAGTTTCCAAAAACACAGGTTGAGTATATAGAAAAATTAAAGTTCTTTTCACATCTCCCTGACTCTTTTTCTACCTCTGAGGTAACCACATCAAATGTGTTTCCTTTCAAGTCCTCTGTGTGTGTGTGTGTGTGTGTGTATGATGTACATGTATGTGTGTATGTGTGTGTGTATGTGTGTGATGTACATGTGTGTGTATGTGTGTGTATGTGTATGTGTGTGTGATGTACATGTGTGTGTGTATGTGTGTGTATGTATGTGTATGTATGTGTGTGATGTACATGTGTGCATGTGTGTATGTGTGTGTATGTATGTGTGTGTGATGTACATGTGTGCATGTGTGATGTACATGTGTGCATGTGGAAGCCAGAGGTTGATAACCTTCCTGCACCTTCCTGTGTATAGTTTGACAATACATATAATGATTTTGACCGCCTGACCTTTTACCTTTCTTTTCCCTCTCCCTCTCTAACTGAGCACCCTCTGCCCCAATTATCCCCCTCTACTTTCATGTCATTTTTAGACATTTGATTAGACTTTCTTGCAAGTGCATGGGGAAGGGAGCCTTGTTTACTGGAGTATGGGCAACTCTCCATGGTCAACTTATGTACTGAAGAAATTCTTCTGAGACAGGAACTCTTTTTGAACCTGGAGCTTGCTAATCCTGTAGGTTGGCCAATGGGCTCCATGGGACCTCCTGCCCCCTCACTCAGTGCCAGAGCTACAGATGTGGGAAGGAGACTTTTCCATGGGTGCTGTGGATGTGAACACAGGTCCTCATGTTTCCAAGGCAAGCACTCTCCTGAGGGAACAGTCACTAAAGCCCTTCCCTCCAGGTCTTTTTCAGTGCTTATGCATTACCATGCCTGGAAATATAGATGATAGATATATATGTAATATATGTGTGTATTTAATATTAATTATTAATTAATATATATGTAATATGTGACTTATTCACATCACAGTATAAGACATCATAAAATGCTATTGTCTACATTTCTAGCTTTAGAACCAACCTGAATATGTTGAATATTCCTTTGAAAAAATATACAAATAAGGATATATATAATTTTCATAATTTATTGTTTTGATTGAATAATATGACATAAAAATCATCCAATCTCATAATAATAGGTATAATTCTTTTTCCTCTCTTTTTTCTCCTTATTTATTTATTTTTTTGAGACAGGGTTTCACCGTGTAGTCTTGGCTAGTCTTGAACGCACAGAGATCCACTTGGCTCTGTCTTCCAACTGCTGGGATTGAATACCTGCATTACCAGACCCTGCAGCTTCATCCCTTTAAATGGACTTGATAGTGTATTTATTTATTTAAACATTTCCCTATTGATGGGCCCTTAGATTGTTCCAACTTTATCTATCTGCCTATCTTTCTTTATGGCACATTTAGAATACTTCTGGATACAAATTATTTCTAGAAGTAGAATCTGTGGATCAAAGAATGTACACATTTTAGATGGCTATCTTTTATTTATTTATATGTATTTTTTCTTTTTGAGACAGGGTCTCACTGTGTAGCCCTGGCTGCCCTGGAACTCACTATGTGGACCAGGCTGGCCTCAAACTCACAACTCACAGAGATTCACCCACCTCTGCCTCCCAACTGCCAGGATTAAAGGCGTGCACTACCACACCCAGTTTAAGCAGTTATTTAAAGAGTTCTCTTTTGTTTATTGAGGTCTTGAGAGACTGTTGAAAACGATATCTAATTGTCTTACTTATGTAAGATTACTTGTTTAGGGTTAGGTCATGTAGTTAAATAAAAAACACAACATTCAAAATTCTACAAGTTATATAAAGTAACAGCTCCACCCCACTCCTGTTCCCTAGCCCTGTATTTCCTTTTTGACTTATAGCCAGTTTTGTCGGTTTTTGTCTTTCAGATATAATCCATACACCCACAGGTGGCACAATATGTATCTTTCATCTTTCTCTTTTGCTTTCAAAATGAATGCTGTGGCATACTTTATACCCACTTCTGCATATGACATTTTAAGTTTATCCCGAATCTTAGGGAACAGCGTTGCCTGTGCGTTTTAAATGCTAATAGATTCTTCTACATTTACTCTTAACATTTAAGATATCAACTTGTATTTCCTCTCATTCCTCTGTCAGTTCCTTTGCCATTTCCCCCTTCTGGTGAATTGGAATCTCATCAATTTCAGAAGCTCTGCCTAGATTCTGGACTTTCATCCACCTGTTGTTAGCAAATCAATTTTTTTTCCTTTCTGCCCTTTCCTTGTTGTGTGCACCATTGTGCCGGAGTAATTAACTTTAGTGAGGTTAGATTTGTGTCATTTTTCTTGGTGGCTTTCTGTTTTCTGCTTTTGTTCTCCTGAAAACCCTATCCTTTTTCAGGGTTAAGCTTTCCTAAATTTTGTCTTTCTCATTTATTTATTTACTTATTGTTTTTCAATTAAGAAAAATATTGAGAGGGGTTGAGAGATGATGGCTCTGGTGGTTAAGAGCTCTTACTGCTCTTGCAGAGGACTGTAGTTCCCAGCACTCATGTCTGCAACTCACAACTGCCTATCAACTATTGCTCCAGGAGAGGCTAGCCTCCCTAGGTATCAGCATTTACAAGCATGTATAACCTCCTCCATTCCCCTGACCTCTCCATGGACAGAGAGAGAAGGAGAGAGAGGGACAGACACACATAGGTGTGTAAGTATATACATGTATATGTGTGCGTATACATATACATTCATACATACATACATACACATGTATGTGTGTGTATTTATACACACACACACACACATTCATTCTGGGACTGTGAATGTAGCTTAATGGCAGAGCACTTACCTAGCATGCTGGAAGCCCTGGGTTCCAGCACCAGGGAGCGGGGTACACACAGAATTACTGCATTTATCCTCCTCATCAGTTTCTCTCCCTTCTGTGACCTCTGTGCTCAGGGTTTGTATGTCTCTGGGTCTCTTTAGCCAATCTCTATTTTCCTTGCCTTTTTAGAGGGTATTTCCCACCAAGTCTTAAGGGTGTGCTTTTCTTGGGCAGGCAGAGTGGGAGCAAGGGTGTGGTGGGCAATGGGGACAGTGCTTAGGCACAGAGCTGGACAGCGGCAGCGTCTGGAGAGCTAGGAGTGACTTGGGATAGCAGAGGTGGGAGACATCTGTTAATGAATAAAACCTGCAGGTGTGGGGATCACGTGGCATGGTCAGGGCTGTGTGGGAAACCATCAGTCTGGTAGAGTGGGAAGGACAGATTGGAATGGGGGCGACACCAGAGAAGAGAAGACGAGATGGAACTGTCTAATACTAAGGGGCAGAGGGTGGCACTCTGAGATGGGTAATGACGGTGTGGGTGTCTACCACAGGGAATGGAACAAACAGATCAACAATTAGCCACACACACACACACACACACACACACACACACACACACACACACACACACACACACAGTCTTATTTGGCCCTCATGGAAGTCTAAGGCTTGGAAATGCTCATTCATTGACCCAGGATCACACTGCCTGAATGTCAGTCAGAGCTGTAGTAGCCCTATCAATATTTGGTAAGAGCAGTTGAAAATGCCCCAGTTTTCTGGTTTTGTCTTTTTTTTTCTAATGTTTAAAAAAATTATGTGTATGTGTATATGCTTTTTTTTTCTTGTTTTTTCTTTTTTTTTTTTTTGGTTTTTCGAGACAGGGTATTGTTTTGGAGGCTGTCCTGGAACTCACTCTGTAGACCAGGCTGGCCTCAAACTCACAGAGATCTGCCTGCCTCTGCCTCCCAAGTGCTGGGATTAAAGGCGTGCACCACCAACGCCCGGCTTCTTGTTTTTTCAAGACAGGGGTTCTCTTTATTGCTTTGAAGGCTGTCCTGGAACTCTCTCTGTAGACCAGGCTGGCCTCAAACTCACAGAGATCCACCTGCCTCTGCCTCCTGAATGTGTACATGCTTAAACGTATGTATGTGCAGTATGTGTGTGTCCAAATGCCCTCAGAGTATGGAAAACAGCATCAGATCTCCAGGAACTGGATTTACAGGAGACTGTGAATGGCCTGATGTAACTACTGGGAACTGAACCCAGGTCCACTTCAAGAGCATCACATGATCTTAACTGCTGAGTCCTCCAGCAAATGCTACTTAAAAAAAAGATAGGGTCTCTAGCCCAGGATGGGCATGATCCCCTTGTGTGACACAGATGGCTTTGATCCTTGTACGTTCACTTCCCCAGGGCTGGGATTATAGGTGTGTGTTACCACAAATGCTTTATTTAGTGCTGGGGATAGAGTCCAGGGTGAGTGCTAGGCAAGTATTCTACTAATTGAAGTATATCTCTAGTCCCTAGGTTTCTGTCTTAAAGGATGGGGTGAGTGGTATTGTTCTACACAG